TTCATGGTGGCCAATTACATCTTTTATGTTCTGCTAACTCCTACCGCCTGCTGCCTACACTCTGTCCTGATTTTTTCTGTCCACTGCTCATGTCTCTATTTGCCAGCTTCATCTCTTTCTTTTTGCATTACAGTTACATAATACGCATTTCAACAGTATTACATTTTCACAGACTGTCCAAGAAACTAAATGGTTCGTTATTTCAACTGCAGCATGCCTGTCATGGTAATACACAACCAATTCCTGCTTGATAGATTGCTCTCGGAAAGTATAATTTTGCTTACAAGGAATTTTGTGTTTATATTGCATAATTATATTAGCTGATCAACATAAGAGGAAACGGATCAAAAGGTTTTGACAAGCCATATATTTTTAGTTGTATGTTATTCAGTTAATCTCTGTCGTACCTGTTGCAGATCCCTGTCTGGTTTGTTATACCTGACAGCAGAAGGACCAGATCCTGAACATGAGCTCTCTATTTTTTAGGACACAGTGGCTACAGTTCAGCCTTAATTGCAGAAAAACTAAAATAAAGATGGCTGTATTACACTGCAGCATTTGGTGTTATTTTAAATTAAAAAAAAAAAAACATTTTAATCTTGTTGAGCCTGCCATGATAAATTAGGTCCCTGTTTCTTTAAACTTATAGAAAATTGCCACCAAAATTACATTTTTGATTGTTATTAATCTCAAAAGATACAAACAACGGACTCAGTTTTTATATTTTCAACAGAACTGAATAAAATATTTTTAAAATGTACAGTATGTTGCAATGTGTTCCCTGCAGCCTTGCTTGGGCTTTCCCCCTTTCCTGAGAAGCGGTGACAAAGACCTGGGAATGTGTGTGGGTGTGTGTGTGTGTGTGTGTGTGTGTGTGTGTGTGTGTGTGTGTGTGTGGGTGGGGGTGTGTGTGTGTGTGTGTGTGTGTGGGGGTGTGTGTGTGTGGGGGGGGGGGTGTGTGTGTGTGTGTTTCGTCCGTTCTAGTGCGAGTGCCGTGGCAGAGAGGGGGTGGGCAGGAACGCAGCTGTGCAGGCTAGATATGTGGTTAACAGTGGACGGCATTCATGCTCCGCATTTTGCTGCAGTGTGTCACCAGACTGCGTCTCTCGCTCGCACTTCCCTCTTCTTCCCACTCATTTTCCTTCGTTTCTCACATCCGTCTGTGTCAGTCTCTCCCCTGTCCCACGGTCTCACAGAAAGACACACACACACGCATACATGCACACGCACTGAGACACATACGTGCCTCAGTGCATGTGCATTCTTACAGCCTTCTTGCTCTTAGCCTCGAACCCTTTCTGTTTCTGGCAGCATCTCTCTCCAGAGCTTCCTGTTGAAGGAAATTCAGTGGAATCTTTGTGACTACCTGTTCTGCCACTGTTTCACTATTTCAGAAAAGTGTTTTTTTTTTTCTTTCTAAATACTATTCACCCACTTATGTACACACCGTTTCCAAGTTACTATAACTTTATTCCAGACATGGCATGCCAAGACTTTGGCCCATCCACTGCTGGTGCATTAAATATCTGAGTTTAAAAAGAGCATAAAGCACCTTGAAAAAGTACGGATACTCCCTAGAACTCGTTCTCATTTTTCACATTAACCATACATTTTTATGTCCTTTTGTGTGACAGACTAACATAATGTTGCAGCAAAAAGAAAACAATACATCCTTTTTTTTTCTTCAGAAGTAGAAATCAAGAAAGCATTCATTTGTATTGTAAACCCAGAGTCAATTTTGATTGTGACAGTAACAAACTATTTACAACTTCTTCTTAGTCTTTTGATGGTAAACTGAACAGCTGATTCCACACCCCAGCAATCACAAATGATTTGATTATTTAATGTGTGTTTGAGAAATTCTTTAATTTCTCATGTCAACTGTTTCGCTTTAGCAAAATGTCTGGTTGGTTCTAGTACCTCCTTGTAGGCGCCGCAGCTCCCTTCCCCTGCTCCGCCCCCACTCAGCTCCTTCAGACTAGCCACCAGCAATTAGCCAACATCTGGTGGAACTGCACATCTGCTGAACTCAACTATTCCTCAGTGCATCGCTGGTAAAATTGTGGGTAAAGGATTAATAGAGGAACAATGTTGTGATAAATTCATTAAGGCTGTAGACTGGAAAGAGTGAGACTTTCTTAAAGAGACAAAAGCCCAATTTCGAGGTGTTAAATTCCACAGTCTAATTTATGTTAAGCCAAGTACATCACTATTTGATTGTACTATAAAATGATACACTGTGACTGGAAGACACATAATACTTACCCTGTAGCTGTGTTGTCAAGAGATTATTCAGGCCAAGCTGATGATTTTTGCTGCTCCTCCAGAGTTACCATTGGTTCCCAGGCTGCTCTTATGGTTAATGCACTCCTTTCACATGTAGTTTAGGTGGACAGTTCTGTCTTTGTAGGTTTGCAGATGTGTTATACTCTTTCCATTTAGTGACAGATTGAACAATGCCTCATGCAATGTTTAATGCTTCCTGGCTGGGATATATACTCTGTGGCTTGCACACAAACAGTTGCATTTATGCTGAGATGAAACTCACACTTTTATCTTTGTTCTCCTTTTTAAACATTGTTTTAAAACCATGGATCATGTCCACTTCCACTCCATGGGCCTCTGCTACACTGTGTGAGTCTGTCACAAGAAATCCCAATGAAACACCCCAGGTTCTGTAGTGTGACAAAACGTGAAAAAGTTCAAGGCGCCTGAACACACGGGCCGTGTGTGTCGTTCTCCACTTTGGCTTGATTGCATTTGATTTTAGTCAGAGCTAACCAGCAGGAAGGGAAGAATAGAAGGATGAGAGAAAGAGAGAGATAACAAGGAGAGGTGAAGAGCATACAAGCCAAAAAGTTCTCGCTTAAAAAACTTGGAGGCAGGAGAAGCAACAAACTTTCCCCTCTCCTTCCTTCCTTTTCTTCCTCCCCCAGCTGCTCCTCTCAGCCCCACGCCCTTCTCAAATGATCCCTCATGCATCAAGGTCTAAAAAGAAACCGAGGCAGAGAGCTCGAAGGGGGCTCTGAAAAAGTTGGCGGTGTCTGCGTATGACTGTGCGTCTGTGTGCCTGCTGGAGTGTGCATGCCTCTTAGGGAGGATGTGTGCGTGCGCTCGCGCGCGCGCGCTCGCGAGTGTGTGCGCCTCTGCGTCCTCAGGTCTGTGTGGGAATGATTACATCAGCCCGCTGGAGCTTTATGATTGGTTGGTGAGTGTGTGGTTTGATTCGGTGCGCCTCGGAGCCCGTGGCTGAGGCTGAAACCCTTTGTGAGGGGGAGGGAGCGGGAAGGAAGGAGAGGAAGACCGATAGTTGTCAGACTGAGCCGGCACTGGGAGCTCTGCGCTGTACCTGCTGCCGTCCAGCCGCTGACTGTTACTGCCCTGCGTGCCGCTGCACGCCGACGGCTTTACTTCAACCAGACTGTTCTTCATCTTTCTCTCTCTCGCTCTCTCTTTTTTTCCCTCCTTTCTTGGTACAGCAAGCGGCCTTGGGATACACTAAGGTATTAGCTGTAACATAGGTAGCTCAGCTGTCAGCTGCCTTAATTCATATTTCTCCTATAGTCTCTGGAGAGAAAAGCGGCAGCATTTGTCGGTCTAAGGTGGACTGTGTGCTTGTGAGTTTTGCGGAGACGGACTCACTCCAAAAATGCCTTCGTGTTCCCCGAACTGTGGCCGGCTGCGGGCCATGGAGGTAAGACCACTCTCTCTCTCTTTCTCACTCTCTCTCTCTCTTTCTGCGTTTCACCTCTTTCCTTTGGGGTGGCTCTGCCTCTTATCATTTTTTTTAACAATCTGTCTATTTCTCTGAGATACAGCTACGCTTAACTGGAGCAAATAGATTTACGAAGACGTTACTTTAATTGGCTATCTTCACTTTTTCATCAAAGATGTGAGCAGAGCAACAAAAGAAAGAATCATATCTTTCACCAGCTGAATGACTGAACCGTTTTAATAAAAAAAATAAATAAGACAGCCTCAGGCTTGGTGTTCAGTCTAAGATCCTTAACGATAGGGCTTCACTTGGGGGAAGGAGAACATTTGCTTACCCTGATATATTTTTGGTGTAATATTTATATTTTTCATGGGAAGTGCTGGCAGTCTGGATATTTTTATGGGCTAATGAGCTTAGTTTAATTTGCAGCTCCAGTTTTGTTTTGTTTTTGCTCTTTGTGTCATTAGACATGAGTATTCTCTGCCCCTGCATGCCATCCTTTAAAAAAATAATAATAATAGTAACCCATGAACACATAATTTAAGTAAATTTACAACCGTTAATCACAATGTATTTGGTCGTTGCATTTTCTGGATAATGTGGATGAAAAAGAACTTGTGAAATGTTACGCATCTGGTGCTGAAGGGGGTAACTGTTTAGCAGTTTATACCTCAGCTGCAATAATGCATTTATGCAAAATATTTCCCCCCCCCCCCAGTAATTTTTTGCTATGCATATAATAAAATCTTTTTTTTCCAAAGAAGGAATTAAACTTCTTTCTTTAAATCTCTCCATACATTTTCTTTAGTAGCTGTAATTATATATATATATATATATATATATATATATATATATATATATATATATATATATATATATATATATATATATATATATATATATATATATATATATATATATATATATATATATATATGTCACAGTAAGAATATGGATTTGGAAATGATCGCCTGCGATTTCTAATGCCATAATTGCTACACTGTGTTGAATAGCTGTTCTTTTCTATTGTGTTTTATGATGACAATCCTGTGTATTGGATGCTATAGTTCATGAAATGTTATTGCTGTGTTGAAGGGGAAAAAATTGCTTACTTTCACCATGCATTAAGCTGGTTTGACTAAATGTCTTGTAATTTTGTATTTACTTGAGTAAAAATATATATAACAGCTCCGTCAAACTTTTGTTTCCCCTGTTTTCAATCCATGTTACTAAAACACTCGTCATTCTATTTCTTTTAACTTTGCTCTCTGCATCTTCTGTACAGATTGTGAAGATCTTTAGCGAGGAAGGCATGTGCAAAGTGGTGGAGATCCCAGCCGACATGACGGTCAGGCATCTGTGCCAGTTCCTGGTGTATAAAGGCCACTGTGTGTATGACAGCAGTTGGGCACTTGTTGAACAACACCCACTGCTAGGACTAGGTAAGAAACCATGCTCAAGTCCCCTTGGGTGGGTGAGGATGTGGAGTGTTATCACTGCCTTACAGAAGTGCATTCCTGTCTCTGCACCATATTCATGCATGGAATTATAGCTGCATAGCTGGGTGGGCAGAATAGACGCGTATTCTAATGCCGGCATTTCTTGAAGCGTGAGTGGATGAGCATATTGTATAACATAAGCACACACTGTCCAAGGGTAACATATACAGAGTTAAGTCATTGTAGCTCATCTGTATTTTCTTATGTAAGAAAAAAACCTTTTAACAAAAGTAATATATTTTTTTCTTGCAATCTAAATTTAGTATTTAGTATGCTTAATATGAAAAGCCCTTCATAATTGAGTTCATAGCGCAAATGCACTTTAGTCTTTTGAGCACACAGACAAAACAAACTGTTGAAATTCAACCTATTTGCAAGTATTTTGTACAGATCACAGATTTCCATTTTTCTTTGTGGTCTGACCTGCTGATCTTAAATTTGATTAATGTTTCTGATGACATTATAACACATAAGAGACAATTTGCTGCTTGTTTTGGACGGAGCTTTTAGTTTTAGGCCAATGAAAAATACTAACATAATATAATATATACGAGATTTTGTCTATTTATGCTTCATGCCAGATGTATTTTATCATATTACTGTTCAACAAAAAAAAAACATTCAAAGTACATATTTGGTACTCTGATAAAGATGCATAGTTTGTTCAGTGTATCATGATCAGTCAAGAGGAAAATCGATCAGTTCCAATCTCTGGTGGATTGAAAGGTGGATTTCTAATTTTATTCAATTTTCTTGGAGTTATGCAAGATTAAGAGCTAAAATTCACTCACTGAAGTAAATCCCAGACAAATTGCGTTACTCAAGAAAATTAGCTAAATTTGAATTCTTAGTAATTAGTCAAACTTATTAGTTTTGGTTTGTGACTAAAGCATGTATTACTGGTGCAGTGGCAGTTTTTCAATTTCATCTAATAAAGTAAACCTTTTCCCTGATGATCACAGCTACGATGCGCCATCCATTGGCAACAACTTCCTTAGGGTTAAAAAGTCTGGCTTACCAGCAAGTCTGATTTTTGCATTTGTGTTGTCGCAAACCTGGTTAAACACAGATACATCCTCAGAAACGGCCTTATGACAGTTCCGTACAGATTGTGTATTTTTTTTAATAGAATATCTTTAAACATATCAACCTCAAAATTCTGTGCTTGACACTACATATATATAGATATGTAGTGTCAATATCTATATATATATGTAGTGTCAATATATATATATATATATATATATATATATATATATATATATATATATATATATATATATATATATACATATACATATATATATATATATATATATATATATATATATATATATATATTTTTTTTTTTTTTTTTTTGTATAAATAACCAAATTTCCTTTTGTCCATCTAAGTAGCTTTGTTTTTGAGTTAATTGAAAGAAATAAAATGTTTTTATTGTATGCAGAGGAAGCTTCAGACACTAGCAGCCAAACTCTTTGTAAACTCTTACATTTGAGGTCTCAAGTCACTGACAAAAAACAAACTTTAAATTTGAAGTGCCAAGTTTGTTTAATTTTTTTTTTCAGTCTTTATGAAGTGGGTAAAGAGAATCATAATGGATTGTTACGGCTCAGGAGATGTGATGTACCTGATGAGCAATGTAACAAAACCTTTCTCGGCTTTCCCCCCCTTAGTGTCAGCGCCTGTGTAACATTATAGCTCCAGCACTGTAATTGACATGCCAGCTAGGTGATGATTGATGACGGGTTTAAAAACCTTTCTTTCGCATTAGAGCCTGAAAATAGAAGCACTTACTGCATCAGAATGACTGTAGTCCAAACAAGATTCAAAAGACGGGGGGGGGAAGAAAAAAGTAGGAAACACCTGAAGCTTGTTCTTGTAATTTTTTTGGTTTGCATTTCTTTTGAGATAGAATTGTGTTAAACTTGGCAGTGTAAAATAGCCGAAAAAAGTTTTGGACAACTTAATGTTAAAAACCAGGCCTCCCCTGGAGGGGAGGGTGATTATAAAACACTTATGGAGGGCTCATGTCTGCACAGTTACCCAGATGTTGGAAGGAAGGGGTGTAATTTTAAAAGGAGTTGTGTTTCTGGGAGTGAAACACATTGCCCTAAGAGACATGGTGTAAAAACATTTCATTTCTGCTGCTTAAGCTGACAGCTTGCGTCTGAGAGCTTCTCTGTGCAGACTGCCGCGCTCGGCAGGCGAGTAAAATCTTAGAAAATATATTGCATTATTCAAAGAGTGGCTCCCAAAGCTCTAACCTAATATTTCACCGTCTATCATGATCGACGTACTTCTCTCATCACTGCTGCCAATCCGGTGCTGTAAGACTGTGTTGGTTTCTTGTGAATGACATCATTTCTGGCTCAGCGTCCCTCGATTCTAATGTAGTTGTTATTGTGTTATGAAGAACCTGTTCTGCAACTGTATTCTTTTGTCGTCCAGAATAACTGCTTACGACATTTAGTGTTTACAGGACTCTGAAAATGACATATAATGAAGCAGCGGCAAATGCACCCTTTGTCAAAGGTCACTTTCCACGGCACTCAACAAAAAATAAGTATCTTGACTCCAGCAAATGAAATTATTTCTATTTAGATCTTAGTTCTCTTCTTTTTTTTTTTTTGTCAAAGACGTTTTAGTTTTGACAACTGTACATCCCAGGCTTATACATGGCAATGGCCAAGGGCTTTGCATTGTGCACAAAAGCTGCTAAATAAGTAGTTGTTCCTCCCCCTCCCAAAAAAAAAAAATATTACCATAATAACAATAGAATGTACCATAGGTTAGAAGACAATTAAAGGAACAGCATGCAGCTTGAAAACATAGTCCTGTTCCTCTGTGTCGCAGCCCAATTCTGGCATCCAGTTGAATAGGGTGAAGTGGCCCGTTGGGATAAGTAACATTGACCTCTGCTTGTCCGATTAAAAAAGGTTAACAACTATGGCAGAGGGAGTTGGAGCTGCCAGGGTGAGTCACAGCTGCAAACATGCCTGACTCATGGGGCGACATGCTGAAGTGGAAGGAAAGATGTTTGTCGTGAGAGTGTACAGAGATCATGACAGAGGGCATGAAAGGGAGGGAAAACGCATAGCAAACAACAAAATGAAACTTGGACATCACATGCCACAGAATCATGTTCTATTTGTTTTATTCTGTTTGACATCTGTTATTTACCTAATTTTTAGATTTTCTATGAAAACATAAAAAACAAAAAAATAAAACACCAATTAAGGGAGTAGCAGACTTTGAGAGAGTGAAGAAACTGTGTGGACATTGATTTAAACAAACACACACAAAAAAATCACCACATTTGTGACTGTATTCATACAAGATCAGACTTTGCTCCGAATCACAGCTTTATATTAACCCACATTAGGAAGTTTTTGGTTTTAATATCAGCAGTTGGTTAGTTGGATTAGCCTGAAGCTGTAAAACCAGTCTGTAATTTAAAATTGTTTTAGCCACAAAAAAGACAGCATTCTGCTTTAATTCACACAGTTTCTGAACCCTTTGGGCAGCAGTTTCATTATTGCCTAAGATGATGTATGATTAAGTTGAGAGTATGCCAGCCCTGTTCATTTATTCATTCATAACACTTGTGTTCCATTAATGTGCAAATGAGTAACGGTGCAACACTGTGACATTCGGCTTCTAAAACGAGGACTAACAAGGCGCAGATTGTGGGAAAAAACTGCTTAATTTGCATTGGGAACAGGTGGGGGAGTTGCACGCTACTGGAATGTTTTTTATAGGAAATTAAAGGTTCCAGGAGCCTAAATTTAGACCAGCCAACAGTAAGGGTTTGTGCTTTTTATTTCACTTTTATTATGTCGCTTTTTTTGATTATTTCTCTTTCTGTCTGAAAAGAAATCCCAGTGACTTTCTGTTTGTAATGTGTTTTTGTGCTGTTGATAGTGTTTCTAAGCAATTTTTATAATATTTTTTTCTTTTTGTCTTTTTTTGCTGTTTATGTTTTGATTCAGACCAAAATAATTCTGTAAAGTAAACATTGCCCTCCTTGTTTTCAGAGCGTTGTCTAGAAGAGCATGAGCGGGTGATTCAGGTCCAGGCCTCCATGAGTAGCGACAGCAGATTCCTCTTCAGGAAGAACTATGCCAAATATGAATTCTTCAGAAACCCTCTGGTTAGTAGTAATTATTTTTGCCAGATGTCAACTCATCCACAATGTCACTTTTTAAAAATTCTTGTAAAGCAACCACAATTGTGTTGATTGTTCCTTATTATATGTAAAAACAAAGGTGTTTTGGGTAAAAATCCCCCCAACAAAATCTGATGCAGTTGTCTACTTTTCTTGAACGGTGCGACCTGTTGTGACAGGTCTGCATGTTGAGAAACTCTTTTGTTGGCCTTGTGAAACACTATGACAGCAATTGAACTAATGACATTTGTTTGACGTCTGTTGCTGTCACAACACCTCCGCCCTATAATTATTGTCACAGTCTCTGACATGTCCCCTTCCTCCTCCTATTCTGTTAGACATTTTTTCCGGACCACATGGTTGCATGGTGCCAGGAAAACGATCATAAAATTCCACCATCTCAACTCCTGCAGGTACGAACCTTCCTCTCTCTCTCTCTATTTGCGTGTCTGTCTTTGATTGTCACTCCTCCTCCTCCCCTTCTTTCTCTTGACACGCACACAGTGTCGTTTGCTCAGAGTCACCACCTGCCGCGTACTGTACAATCAAGCTGGCACACCTCACCCCTGACCCTTAGACAGCATGTCTCGTCAGAGGCAACAGTAATAACTACTGTTGATCCTTTGTTGACACATGACTGTCTCGATATGCGCACCACAGCCCAACCACCTCTGATGGATGAAATCAGGCCATTTGAAGCACAAAGTACACCCTGCCTTGCAAGACTAGATTCAACCCTTAAACATTTTGTAATATTACAAGCATCGACTTACTGTACTTTGTCCTACGTTTATGTGATAATTCACAAAAAGTGATACATTAAAAAAACAGCCAATCTGTGAGCAATTGAATCTCTTTACTCTACAGTGGAGAAAAATCTGGCAATATCCAATAAAACGACAATGAAATAAAACATCAATACCAGATTAAAGCAAATTAAAACCATCCCAGTTAACTAACATAAAAATGAATTAAAACCAACATTTCCCATCTTCTCAAAGGTCAGATTGGAAAGATTGTTTTCAGAAGAAAGTTAAAATCGGACAGAACACATGACTAATTTCCAGAGCTGATGTGGTTGAATATGTTAGTAATACAAGCAATAGTTGTGTTTATGGCCTTGAAGAGTGGCAAGAAAAAAAGAAACAAAAACCACAGAGTCCTTTTTGAAGTGTGGCCTCAAATCACATTTCAGCAAACCTCAGGAATATTTAATCAAAAACTGGGGTAGTGGTTATTAAGATATTAAAAGCTAACTTAGGAGACAATGTTTTGAAGCTGCTTTTGAAACACTCTTTTGAATTTTTTGTTGTTGTTTTTTTATGTGCAGAACTGCAATACAGGTACATCAATGTCTGCAAAACACATAAGTTTACGGTTCTAATGTAGCAAAGCATGCAAAGCTTGAAGGAATATCAACAGTTTTGTAATGCTCTGTAGTTGCAGTAATTGGACGTTTGTGCAGGTCTTAATATGTGCAACAGAGCAGCCTCTCAGTTCTTGGGAACTTGAGGGGCTTTGGTCTTTAAAAAAAATCCTGGCTTGCTCTGTCTTGGAGAGCTGTCAGAAACAGATCCTTCTGTTCATCTTTTGCACTCAGAGAAAGTCGTTGGCCCTCCTGATTATAGAGGGCGCTTGACATATATTAGGGATTGGAATGAGCTGGAGCTGTGTCAGGAATTCCCTTTGTATGACTTCTGCTAAATTCACAATCTTTTCGCTCAATTAGAGCACAGTACAAAAGCAAGGCGCTCTCTGAACTGAGCTCATCCAGGTGGTTGCAATAATCCATATTACACAAGAAATATTTGACTGTGGAAAGTCAAGGTGCTGTGGCTCTGAAAGAAGGCGGTTTGATATATTGTTGCGTGTTAATATGTGCTTGGCCAGTGTTGGAAAATGCATGAGGGCTATGATGATATTCTATTTTTCCAAAACACTGCTGAACATGTGCTTCAGATATTGAAGACGATTCTTGCACAGTTTATCTTTTGAGCTGCAAATCATAGTTCCAAATCAAATTTATTAGCTCAAGCTGTCACTTCACTTATTAACCTAACCTGCTTCAACCATCTGGTCATGTCGAATTCACACCCATATCACAAAGACAGGAGTTTTGGACCAACTTTCTACCACAAATAGAGCTTCTTTCATCTCTTGCTGTTCTTTTATCTACAAGCAAAAGTGTTTACACATCTTGAGCTGTTTTTTAGATTTTGACAAATGATAATCTAAAACAACAATCTGTTTAATTGGGACTTTATCTGTTCAATACAATAGTTCAATACAAAGTCACATTACCAATCCTGTGGCGATACTTTGTAGACTTGCCTTTAGCTAGAATTACTGCTATGTCTTTTGGCAAAAATATTCGATATGATATTCTTTGAGAGGTTGAATTTGTTTGCCCATTCTTCTTTGTACAATCAGCCCTACAGTACAGTTTGGATACAGAGTGTCTTCGAATAGCAAATTTTATATTTTACCAACAAATCCCCAATTGTATTGGAGTGGTCTTTACTTGGGTCATTTTAACACATGAATGCTTTGATTAAAGTTCAAGTTTGATTTCTGACCAATTACCCTTTTTTCTACCAGAACTACTCAGTTCCTCAGCTAATAGGGTCTTTGTGTGGTCATCTTTTTGTCACTGTTCAATAAAAGTCACATTTGAACAGTTGTAGAGAAGAGATCAAGGGTTATGGATAATTCTACAAGATAACATACAAGCCCTTAGTGCCAAAAAACTGGGCTTAAGGTGTTCTGCAATGTCTTATTGCGCTGATAATGAGCAGGCTTTCATGTAGGCAGATCTTTGGTGTGCGGAAACCTGAAAGAGCTGTGGTTGCCAGTTCTGTCAGCTGTGCTGTGGTCTCCTCTGGAAGCATCGTTTGTGCCAAACATGTTTCCAGTACCAATAAATGCATTAGCAGAGCTAAAAAAATCTCATTAGACTCATCCTATAGATATTTGGGTCAGAGCGAGACAGGAAGTCTCTAAATAACTGCTCTGCTTTACAGATGATACATTTCACCCCTCTGGTATTACGATGACAGTGGAGCATATTCAGCTTTCGCGAAGACGGCCCCAGAAAACCCTTGATATCACTCAGCATCGTAGTACACAACAGCTAGCTTCTAGTAGTACGATAAGCTTGCTGAAAAATACCACGGTTTCACAGTGTTTACAAAAAATGTACATTGTGGCCACATTCAGTTAATTCATTTATTTTGAAACTGACATGTGAAACTAATGGAGAATACATCGTAAAAACTTGATGAGTTTAGTTTTTAATGAAGCATGTCTGTTGTACAGATTATTATACTGTTTTACCATATTGGTCTTTTTATAGAAACAGAATATATCAGGCTGACATTAGCCAGTTGATAAGTTGCTCAAGTTCAGTCTTTAGTGGTCTGCTTTCCGGATGCAGCCTGTTTTGTAGGAGCCTTGCTTGAGTCAGCAATGCACAGTAACAAGTGAGAAAGCAGCAGTGCTACATTGCTCTGCTACATGCAGAGAAAACTCAGTTACTGTGACACTGTCTATGCTATCTCAGTGATGACTTGTAGAAAATGTTAGTTTTTAAACTGCAATTAAAAAATAAAAAATCTTGATCTATTTTAATACACCTGGTAGATACCCTGTGCAAAACAAAAAAATTATTTTGCACACCAAGTATATAACATTTTGTGTCACATCTATACACATGTTAACTGTTAAATTTAATTCTCATCAAGATTTAGTTTGTCTAATGTTCATCCTAATCATATCCATAATCTCAGGTCAAAGTTTCTTTGTTAATATTTAAAATTCCTACTATAATGTGTTTTCCATGACTATATTGTTTACTATCAACAATCTCGGGGTCAATAAATTACAAAATAATAAATATGCAGTCACAATATGCATACTGTCTGAAGACAACCTTTGAGCAGGTATTAAATGTACTATTCATCAAGTGTACATTTCTGTATTAACATTTTTTTTAATGATCATACTCTTAAAATATTATGGTTCCACTGCCTGTAAGCAAAAAATAAAATAAAATTAATAATAAACAGAAATAAAACATCCATGTATTCATATTAATTTATATAATGTGTTTTAATTTATGAATTGAGTTACAGAAATACATTGGCTTTTCAATACGATTCTACTTTATTATATATAATTGCATGATGTCATAACAAAGCACATAAAATGAATGTATTTTTACATGTACTTAAATGACCCTCTTTCTTTTACATGCAGTAGCAAAGTATGCTTTTATACAGAAACCCCAGATTACTCTGAGTTCTTTCTGTTTATGCTACCTACTGCTAAAATGCAGCTTTAAGACTTCAGATATATGGAATCAAACAATAAAAATCTTCCTGCTCCATTTTCAGAACTTCCTTTCGCCCACCACCTGCCCAGAAATCCAGGGGTTTTTGTACATGAAAGATGTGGGCAGGAAGTCTTGGAAAAAGGTTTTCATGTTCCTGCGCCGTTCAGGTTTCTACTGCACTACAAGAGGAACCTCAAGGGTAACTGTAATCTGAGGAGAAGAGATTACTAACGGCGGCTGACGCTCACCTTCCTATTCTGACTTTATTCCCTCTGTCTCCAGGACCCCAGATATTTACAGTTGCTAGCAGACCTGGGGGAGAACAACATCTTCACTGTCACCACAGGAAAAAAGCAACATGGTGCACCCACAGACTACACCTTCAGTTTCAAAGTGAGTGTCAGACACTGCAAGTCAGATTAAGCTGATTTCATGTCATTATGAGAAGCCAAAATTGTGAAATGTTATGAGAAGTAGATAATTTAGGCACATGTGTTTAAAAATAGGGAGTTGACTATGCCATGAGATTAAACTCTACATGTTGATTTGCAGCTTAATAAAGCCATAGGAGAAACTAAGGAGCTTAGGATTCTGTGTGCAGAGGACGAACAAACCAGGGCCTGTTGGATGAATGCTTTCAGAATCTTTAAGGTAACTCATCAACACTGTCCAAGATGTAATACTATCCTACTACTAGCTTTCTATAATTTGGGGATGGGAAACTTTTCTGGAACAAGACTAAAATAGAAGGATGTAATGTGAGTATCTTGTTAAACTGTCAAGATATGTGCGATATGTCTAACATAAAAATTAACCAAATGGCTAGAAACTAGTATCAGACAATTTTTGGGGGGGATTGGTTTTAATCAATGATGAGGCACATTAGGTGCACATAACCAAATATATACCCAGATTACATTTTCTTTCTCATTTTTGTGTTAGAGTCCTTTGAAAAAACATAAAATGGACTTGGAACTTAAATAAAATTTAAAATCTGTACTGGCCAAGAAAATGTGATTGTTGCATCTGCAGTTTACAAAAAAAAAAAAAATGTTGCACTGGTTTACATGTTGGTCTTTTTCCCCACTTAACAGCATGGGATCATATTGTACCAGAACTATATGCAAAGAAAAGACTTGCTTTCACACTTTCAAGCCCCTGTGGTAAGTTTTATATATATATATATATATATATATATATATATATATATATATATATATATATATATATATATATTTATTTATTTTTTATTTATTTATTTTTTATATATTTGATGAATTATCCCTAAACGGGAACTTTAGACAAATCATCTTGAGTGAATCAGGATGAGCTATGTCTTTAATATTTATGCAATAAATTCATACTGCTGCACATCACAGAACTACAAAGTGATTAATTAGTTGTTAAAATCATTATATGTGTTTTTAAGTTTGAATTAGTTTTTTTTTTTATAGATTTGATCTAATGATTTATTTATTAATTTGCTGCCTTTGCATCTTGAAGATATATAGGACTTGTACATGTACCACAAACATACGGTACGCCGTGTGTTTGAATTCTGACGTTAAAGTCAGAATTCTGTCAGAATTCTTTTTTTTTTTTTTTTCTTTCTTTTTTTTTGGTGGCCCTAATCCTCTTCCGTACCTTGCTTTGTAAGCTGACACGTTATGGGAAGGAATTTGTTCATATTCCAACTTCATCTCCTTTCTAACTGCTGTGTGTTTCTGGTTCCCCCTAGAGGAGTGTATCGGAAAACTCCCTCGTGGCAATGGATTTCTCAGGGAGGATAGGTCGGGTGATTGACAACCCAATCGAGGCTCAGAGTGCTGCCTTGGAGGAGGGACATATGTGGAGGGTGAGAAAAAGACACTACAATATAAATGATTTTTTTATGTGATATTTGAAAGTTGTGATGTCATAACTTTTTTTTCTTTGACAGTGAGGCAAGAGCTTAATATTAATTGACTATTTTCATTCAAGTTTTTTGCATTCACTCAATTCATTTTTTATGTAACTTTTGCATTTTAACATTTTATAAGAACGAATTTTAAGTAATCAAATTCAAACTTTAGTCACATTTGTATAGAATTGATAGAAATGTCTGTTGCTCTTTGTGTTATAAATTAATGACTATTACTTTCTGTTTCTGTGACATTTCCTTCAGAAGAGAAATCGAGTGAATGCTTTAGGTTCCCACAGCCCCTTACACCAATCTTCACTTAACTCAGGTAAATCTCTAATACATAAAGAGTGAATAACTTGGTGTTTCATCCTACCTTTTTGTATTCTTTTTGCTCTGAATCATCATTGAAACGACATGTTTTTGCATTCTGTGCAGTTATCCACATAGCTCAGCTGTGGTTCTATGGCAGGATAACCAGAGAGGAATCCCATCGTATCATCCACCAGCAGGGACAAGTAGATGGGTGAGTCAGGTGAACTGATATGAGGAAACGCGTCCCGAAAATCTTTTTTTCTCACACAGTTTCTATCTTTTTTCTACTATGAAGGTTGTTTCTGCTGAGAGTCAGTCAGAGTAACCCGAAGGCCTTTGTCCTCACTTTGTGCCATCATCAGAAAATCAAACATTTTCAGATCCTACCGGTAAGCATTTTATCTTAGTGATGTCTTCCTCCTGCAAGATTCTACACCCAAAAAAGAGAAAACCTTGTCAAGATGTAACAACATAAAGGGTTCTCGCATAGTTGAAAGTCTGGAATTTCAACAAATTGTTTTGAGGAAAAGCACAAGTACAGAAAAAGATAAGAGTGTTGTCAGTGTGTCTGCCTATCTATCTGTTTGAGAAAAAATAAGAAATTTTGACATAAAAGATGTATGTGAACCTTGGACATAAATAAGAGAAAAAATATTTTTTTTAAATCTTGAGGTCATAATTACAGGCAAGTTCCTGCAGTCATTTTCGGTAACCATTTTTTGTCTGTAGAAGAAAGATTTTTCTTGGTTGTTTGTCTCATGCCATGTGGTGCTCCTGTTTTTATTCAGTGTGAAGAGGACGGCCAGGTCTTCTTCAGCCTCGATGACGGCGAAACCAAATTCACAGACCTGATTCAGCTGGTGGAGTTCTACCAGCTCAACAGGGGCGTCCTGCCTTGTAAACTCAAACATCCGTGCACCGTCGTGGCCTTATGACATCTTCGGACCATGTGACCGTCTGAAACTTGACCTGACTGCCTGAAAACTAACAGACAAAGCGGAGAGGATCGCTGTTCTCTCTGTCGTTTGTTCTTACCTTTCCAAGAAGCTGGTGAATTGATTGATGTTTTGCTGTTGTCGTTTTCTATTGTGAGTCTTGCTGGACGTTGCTGACTGGCTGGATTTTTTTTTTTTGTGGAAGCCAATGCACGACTTGCTCATGGGGTTCCACTTTAAAAAAAAAAAAAGAAAAACAAACAAAGACAAAAGAAATGAACACTGCCATTTTGTGTCGTCACTGTTGCAAAAACGCTTCATCAGATGCCGGCAATATTCATCAATAAGCTTGGGCCTCAAGGGTTATCTCTCAAGAATCGACTTGATTTCTCTTAAACTGGACAATCAGCAGGACAGTTGAAGCTACCGTGTGGTCTATTTGGTTTCCTTCTAACTAACTGCAGTGTCATGTAAGCTGTTGATGGCACATTTTCAAAATGTATGTCACGAATGGAGACTATGTTCCGTTGACTATGTTACTCAACTAGACATGGTGCCACCAAACCGTGTCATTTTTGGCATGAATGGGCATGCCCAAATTTTACAGTGAATTAGATCTGAAGGCACCTGGCAGTCCTCCGTGAAATTCTTTCCAATCTTTGAAATGATACGTTTGTCAAATCTGCACTGTCCTTTCTTTTAGACATTTCCTCAACAGTTCCTCAAATAATTCAGTTTTTGCATCTTTTTTCCCTAACATCTGAATGTTTGCAGCTCTATATAGGTCACATTAGCCACGGCAGATCACTTGGTGCTCAGCATTCTGGGTTGTCACACCATCGCCAAGATTTCTGCTTCGAAATATCCACAAAACAGTCCAATGTTTTCCTAATTTTGCCATTCAGTCATTAGCAGCTAAGTCAGAGCAGATATACTAGACAGACAGCTGATTGTATTGTTCAGGTTTTTTAATTCAGGTATGGTTAAAAAAAAAAAGCTTGGGACTGAGACTATATTATTGCATTCATATAAATATTCCCATTTTAATAAACTGGCCCATTTTAAAGAGGTGATTCAACTTGGAATCATTCAGCTTTGGATAACTTCTGCCTTTCATAAAACAGTTTTCCACAAACATCTGTATGGCCCATTTCACATTGGACTAAGAGTCCAATGCAATTCTAAAAATTTGTCTTTGCACGTTCTTGGAAATGTCTGCAGTGAGCATCCATAAGGCATGTAATAGAGTGTGAAATTTAGCTCATTTGTTTTGAAAAGAACTTAAGTGTTCACATTGTGGTGGCTCATAAAGTAAGTGGTTCATAAACTGCAGGGTACTACCTGGAAGGTACAAAGTTGTCTCCTCTTCCAAAGCTGTTCTGACGCTGATGGTAGAGATGGAAAAATCTCTCCCAGACACAGAAAGAAACTTGGTGATGTGGAAACAACCTCATAATGTCGATGTTGTAATTTGTTGAGTACTGCGAAAAAGAGAAGCATCCTCATTGCCTTCAGCATGGAGATCCTTTATCAAATGATTTGAATGACAAGTCATTGAGATCCTGGAGACTGTAATGCATTCTTAATCCAGTGTGATGTGGGCATTGTCACATGACAGGAAACACAATCCAGAATGCTGCAGATTGCGTGAAAAACATTAAACCCAGATTGTGCTGCAACTTTGACATTTGTTCCATAACCTCTCACCTGAAAAGGACATGCCTGGAAATTCAGCATAATGTTCTCTGTAATTTAATAAGTGTGGCCTTTTTCCCTCCTAGCTTACTTCTACACAGACAATATTAAATGCCACCTCTGCCGTCTTCTTCTAATTTTAAATGGCAAAACTCTATACAAGCTGCTGGTATCATGTAAATTATATTTGTAAAAAACAGAAGCACATTTGAAATGCATTTAAAACAAAGGATGTCGACCCTTTCTGCATCCTTCTCGTTACACATTATGTAGCTTGCTACTGAATGTTGCAAGTAGGAAATGGATTGATTGCGATACATTTAGTGGCTATGTTAGTTCTTTAAGCAATGTCTGTTCATTTGTCTTTCTCTGTCACCAGAACAGTTGTTGGAAATGTTGGCTTAAAATGTTTCTTACTTGATTCCCTTTTGTGATTGACTAAGACCCTGTTTCTGTAATTAACAAGAGCTAAAATAGTTTTATTGTTAGAGTTGGATTTTTACTTTATATCAACAGAAAACCTATTGAAAAGCAAAATCTATTTAACCCTAAACTCGACTTGTAAGCTTGAAGTCCTTTTTGTTTATTACTTCCTTTTTGTCACTTCTCACAAGTTGCTGCCAATATTTAGAGTATCCTGCTGTGAAATGTCTCATAAATAGTCTTTTTTCTTTTCTTTTTTTTATCATTTGTACTCTTGAGCTTTTAGATTTTTCTTTTTGTTGTTTTTAGTTCAGGGCATTTTGGGTAGCCTTGTTTAGCTAAACAGCCAGCAGATTTTTAGATATATGTACTTTTGTACATCAACAGCCATCTTTTATTGACCTGCAGGTTGTTAAAGGATTTCTGTCTGTCCTGAAATGCAGAATAGCAGTATGACCAGAGATGCAGAATAGCAGCGCTATGTTGTCTCTCTGTGCAAGGGCATCATAATTTATCTAAGATGCAATGACATTTTTTTATTTTATTGTCTGTTTTTTTTTTTTTTTTTTTATTGATGCAGCAGTGTGTATTTATTTATCTGGATGTGTCTGATTACTTGAAAGATTTAGACTGTTTTTGTTCTGTCTTAGCGCTGTCTCTGCTGTTTTTCGCTTGTCATTACCATGAAATAATTGTGACTATTATATTTGTAATGACATTACCTGAATTTATGTTTTCCTTTTTGTTTTAAATATTCCCCAAAAAACATTGAGATTCACTAATTTCAATTTTGTGGCCAATTTCCTCTCCTACTTTTGTACAAATGCTTTGACCCTCACATACGGAGGTTAGCCTATTCTCGCTTCTCTTTGAGAACTAACAAAATAAGAAGATAAAAAAAAAGCCATTTAGATCACTTTGTTCAAGCCTCCCTGTTGAGCATTCAGTTATTGTTTATCTAAGGAGCAGTTCCAAGGTCATGCTTCTCACCGTAAAACTGTTTTGCTGGTATTTTCTAACAAAGGCAAAATGATTAAGAATTTCACATTTTAAGCTTGCTTTAAAAACTGCTATCAGTGACTAGCATAATTAGATTAACTAAAAAGGCAGCAATATTTAAAACAAACGCAAAATAATGATGGGGTTCACATTTTAAGTTGGTTTTAGCAACGTATGCTAGCAATGTGTGCTTTTTTTTCTTGGCATAACTTAAAAACAATCAGTATTTTCTAGAGAATGTAGAATTCCAAAGGGACTTCCAGCGTTTCCAAATCCAGCATGTTCTTTGAATGACAGAGGTTAAGAGCTAAAAGAGATTAACATTGCTGTACTTTGTTTAGCTCATCTGTTATTTGCTGAAAGTCTTGCTCTCGCTCACCCTCTTGCAGCGTAATTTAACCACAGGCCTGTCTCATCATGTCTTTGAAAACTCAGTTCCTTTCTAAAATGCTTTCACCTGTGTCCTTCCTTTGAATTTACCTTAAACACCTTACTGATACTAAAAATTGATAAGACATAGTCTCCTACCCTCAGTTACTGTCTCCAACCCGAAGAGTATTACTTTCAGTGAACCAGGTACCGCTTAGCTTGGTGCAGACAGTGAGTTAGAAAATAAAGCTCTGGTCAACAGATTATGATTTCTCATTTCATATGCATTCAAATGATAAGTATCACAAAGTTATGGTTAAAGCACACTGACAATAATAATGTCAATTTTAACCTTGAGAATGAACAGCAAGATGAATGTTGTAAAAATAAAAACACAAAAGAGGAAAGAAAAAATAGGGTTTCTTACTGAAAATACCAATAAATAGGCATATTCAGTAACCTCTTTTCTGAAGCTGCCCTAACTCTCCAAGTCTGTGAAATATGTAACTTAAGAAAACCACTAGGTGTCACACTAGAGCAGCAGTTTACATCTAAAACATAGAACGTCAAAACAAATACCTTATTCAAAACCAGTGTCAGAAAACTCAGTCTGCATAGATAATGGGCATAAACTGGCCTTATTAGACACAGGAAAAGGAAGCATCTTTCTATTGGATCCTTTTTACCTGAAAGTTCCTTAGCCAGTGGAAACACAGCACAGGCAGCCTTAACAAACTTAGAAAACAAGCATTGAAAGCATGTAAGAGCAGACAGTATCTGGGTTAAAAAACAAACAACAAAAAAATCTGTTGATGGTTGTAAAGCTGATTGTTGCTCCATACAGATTCACTATAAAACTTTTAAGACAATTTCAGTTCAAACCAACAGCTCCCCTTTTTTTTCTGAGAAATGTATTTATTAAGCAAACTGCAATATTTATTTGATTCTGTTTTATCATTTACTTAAATGTGGATTTGAGTTGAAATTGGGGAAATTTGGGTCATGTCTATGGTGATATCACAATAAAACAAGTGGATTGCTCTGCAGTTGTTCAAAGGTTTAATCTAATACCTGAGAAATTAATTTCCACTTTTTTTTCCCCCAAAAAATAAGTAATTAATCTTTAACTGGCTATTGTGTAAAGGTCCTCAGGTTTATCAGAAAAAATATTATTTACCAGAAAACACTTTCAGTTCTTCAAGCCAAAACAATCTATTCATAGACAAGATGGTAAGAACTCTCGACCTGCGTCAGTCTCCACTCGTGCTTATCCCATTGTGTCACACTGAGAAGGAACTACTTAAGCAAGCTCAAAATGCGCAACCTAAAAATTAGACATTGTATGTTTAGTTGTTTTAATTTGTAATAAATTTGATCAGGCCATTTTTCCTAAACACACAGCTATTTAAAAAAAAAAAACACCAATAGCGCAGTCAACTTTGGTGGCCATGGAGCTGTAAATTAACTTTGAGGTGAGCATTTAGGCCCAGCATGAGGTCTAAATTATATTTGTAAAGTCCATGGACATTTTGAATTCGGAACAATGGTCCTTAAGCCCAGCTTCAATGTGCACAAGCCTAAAACAAATTCTGAGCTTTTCAGCACCTGCGTCCTTTTTGCTTTTTGAATGAGTTAAAATCCATATGTAATTTTTTTTTTCAGCTGTCACAGTGCAAGATAATCTGGTTGTTCAAATGAGTAAAGTAAAACAAACAAAAAAATAAAATAAAATCTACGAGAAGCACCATGCATTTCAGGGAATGTGAACAGGAAAACTGACTTTTCTCTTTTTTTGAGAGAGAGCTTCTATATTCATGATGTGCTTTGCTTCAGTCTGTAAATAGTTGGTTGGCTTACTGTAATCTTTTCAGGTATTTTTGTAAAAAAAAAAGAAAGAAAAAAATAAGGGACTGATATATTCTGTTTATTGATATTAGAATAAAATGTTAATACATTGATATAAAATAAAGTTAAATGTGTGTTTATTCACAATCCTGGTCGGAGTCATATTCACTCATCACCTGCATGAATGTCGCTCTGATTTTGAGCTTTCGAGCTTTCAGTCATGCATTTGAACTGTTTTTTTATGGGGTGGACTGACAACAGAGCAAATCATTTGATAAATCTGAAGAAAAGTTTGAATTTATTGTGGATTTTTTTTCTTGCCCACAGAAACTCCAAAATTCTACACACCATGGTACAACCCACTGATATTTGGTCAGCTGTTGTTTTAACACTTTTCACCTCAACCAGTTCACCTGGATTTCTTCTTCCATGATGTTTGACCACTTCCTTTCAAATTCAAAAATACTTTATTGATCCCAATGGATAATAAATTAAAATTATTTTTGAAATTTCTTTGAAGAATTAATTAAAACTACTTAGCTTTTTGGCACAGAGAATGATTTTCTGCTTCTCTGTGTGGTTGGTGTGACATCTCTATTCAATAAGGTCAATGCCAGCAGTACTGGTACTTCAAAGAAAGGGGTTACACTGATTGATGATGCCTTTGTTTGATTTTCCAGACTTTTCCACATCAGTATCATAGAGACAGCAAAGGATGACAATGATCATGCAACAGTATGAATCTGAAAACACTACAATGAATTCTAGGGCAGTATAGAGTATGACACTTTGAAGATAGCCATTGAATGAAACTAAACAGTTTGGTTGGCTAAAACAAGACGGCTCATCACCCAAAAATACTGCATCGACAGTAAAACATGGTGATCACAGTAAAGTGCTCCCTGCTTGCTCTTCTTCAGATGGATCTCAACGTGGATACAATTCTGAACAGTTTTGACACAGAGCATTGCATTTACTACTCGAAAGCTCAAGATGGAGATGGATATAATTTTTCAGCCTTGCTGAGTTCAGCGTACATTTATATCCACAAGAACAAACAAGCTAGGATTTAGGATTGGGTTCACTGAAGCAAATATCCTTGTGGAAAGTTATTAGTAAAAAAGGTCAAATTCTGAAGGAACCGAGATTTTCTGATTATCCACAAGATGGTGCTGTTCTATAAAAAGCTTAAGGGATAATAAAATGGAATCGTAGCACTGAAAGTTCTCATTCTCTAAAGTTACTTAGGAGAAGTCTACCTCCAGCAAAGGTCTAATAATGTATCGGTATTGATCTTGTGATTAGCTGGTAAATAGGGAACGTGCATTAGAATCATAAAGCCTGACCTTTTGACACCAGCTGAGTTTCACACCACTTGGATTATCAGTCATGGAAACACAGCAGCTTGAGTTGTTATTGTGCATAATAAAAAAATGAGTGAAGATTAACATATCTGAAGACTTGTTACGTCAGTAAATAAATAACCATATGCTCATATATTGGTTTTGCTGTACATCAGAAAAGGATGGATGAGACCAGGGGTTAGTGGGGGAGGAGGGCATGTCGAGGTGTGCAGAAGTGAACATTAACAATATAAACCTTTGCTCTTTGGGAGTCAGCAGAACACCTTGTTCATATCACCACTCAGGACTCACATAGGTAAACCAGAGACACAGCATTTTTAAATACAACCCCTCGAGAACTTTGACAAAACTTGAGTCAAAGCTTGTATTGATTTTCCAGCAAAATGCCATGCAGGGTATGTAGAGAGGACATTTGGCTTGTCCATGCGTGATCTACAGGGTTGAGTTGAACTCGTAACACTTATTTCTTGGTCAGTATCCTCTCATCTCATGCTGATTTTAAATTCAAATAAATATGATAGCAATGCTTCAAATTAGTTCATATCTGACAGGAACGTCAGCTTTTATTCAATAACCGCACTAAATGTTTTTTTGTGTGCAATCAAATCATGATTATTATTTTGTGAAGTGTATTTCAAAGTTGGGTTTTGTTCATCCATGCGTGCTTTGGGTTATGAATCACTCTCCCTTGCGTTGGCAATGATCCCCTTTCCTATTGGCTGGCCTCGTGGGGGTTGGTGGATTGGGGGTGGTAAGACGCGAGATAAAAGGAGCAAATGTCTCCTGTCCTGCTTGCACATACAAACACACTCAACACGTGCCTGGCTGTCTGGTCCGGCTGGCTGCTTGTGGATGTAAAAACAAAAAGCAAGGCGAGGATCTCCTATCCAAACACTGCTGCTGAAGGTCTCTGGATCTGAAAGTGTGAGTACACACACACGCACACACACCACACTCACACACACATTCATACAGCATGTCTAATCCTATTTGAGGTAAGGCTTCGGATAAGAGCTCTGGCGCTTAACAAAAAATAAAGACCCACTGGTAACACTTGTTGAATGGCGTGGTGCAGGGGGAAATGTTCGTGTCCTGTTGTACTGTTTGAACGGGCGTCACAAGAATAAGGTCCAATCTTTTCTCCTACCATCCAATTACTTTGTCATTGTGTGTCTGTAAATCATTTACACTGGGGTAAATAGGTCATGTTCAGCTACTGGTCAGCTATATAGTAGGGAGGGATGTTTATGAGGTTGTTTTTTTTTTATTTTACTAGTTGCAGAATAAATATGATCAGGTGACTTAGAGAAGAATATTTTGTCAGGACTTTTTTTATAGGAGAGTATGAAACCGGAGTGCTCTGAGGAAAGTGTGCAGAACCTTTTAAAGACACGCCACAGCGAAAGTGGCTTACAGCTCAGCAGGGAGGTCAATAGTCCAATTATTCATTTAAAAATGTGCGGCCTTAATAATGGACAGCCTCTTAGACTTAATGCCCAAGCCCTTCATATCAAGCACAAACAAAAAAATAATCCTGAAACTTTTAAATATATGTTTTAATCCTGCTTATTTGTGTTAACTCAGCTGGCTTTACTGTCATTTTTGAATGAACTGCGACTTCTGAAATCTTTTATTTTTATTTTTTGTGATCTACTGACGCCCCAGGCTCATGTAGCACAAAAAACTTTACATCATTATTTATTTAATCTTTTCTCTGCAAATATATATTTTGAGCAGAAGTTTAGACCGGGTAGTTCAACACAGGCAAACCATAGATGGTTAAAAGCAATAAAAATATACTGTTTATTTTTTTTCTTTGCTAATTTGTCAGTTTCAATGTGAAGAAATTTGTAGAGCTAATAGCAAAATATCAGTCAGATATTATATATATCAGGTAACATATGTAATATGTCATAATGAGTTATTGCTATGGAAATATAGAAAGTCTAAACCTTAAATTTCAGCACAATTATCCAAAGTGGAAAATGACCACAGTTACATATATATGTATGTATGTTTTAATTAGCTTAATCTCTAGATCTGAATCCTAAATCCTCTGTTTGTATTGTCCAAACTAAATTTTATAGGAAATGACTGATTGCTGTTCTGTAGGCAAAAGCTAGTTGTACAAAGCATTGAAAGTCAGGAAACCAAAAGGTGTTGCACCAAGGATTTTTCTACCGTTGAATCATTGCAACGTGCTATTATATTTCTTCAATAAAAAAAAAAACTTTTATTTGAAGGCTTTTCATATGTCTTTGTGTTTCTATGTGTAAAGAACTAGTATTACCAGAGAATGTGACATTTTCATATTTAGGTTTAGTGACAAAAAAATGCTTTCTAAGCCATTCTTGCTGTCAAACCGCTGGCTAATTCTTTCATGTTCAATCCCTTCCCCACCATCAGAGCAAAGGTTAATCTTGAGAGGTAATGTGTGTGTGTATATTCTTTCCTAAATATTCAGAAATTCTAAAGAAATCTCATCCAGCTGCTTAAAACACCAACAAAACGTCAAATCCATAATCTGTACTGCTGTCCAGTCGCATCATGGATGCAGCAGAGTTCCGACGCAGGGGCAAGGAGATGGTTGACTATGTGGCAGACTACTTGGAAAACATAGAACAGCGACCAGTGTACCCGGATCTGGAACCAGGATATCTCCGTTCTTTAATCCCCAGCGAGGCCCCACTTGAGCCTGAGAGTTATGAGGAAATAATGCACGATGTGGAGAGAGTCATAATGCCAGGGGTGAGGTGACACCATTTGCTCTTTTTAGTTGGTCAACACAATAAAATTTACCAAGTTTTTCCTATTGTTTTTTTTTTCTTACCCACAAT